TGTTTTAGGTAGTAAGTATATAATCATTTGAGATGAAATATCTATAAGTGAATAAAATTTCTCTAATCAAATATACTTATATAAATTAAACTATTGTTTTAGCTCGTAAGTATAAAATTATTTTAGATTAAATATCTATAAGTAAATAAAAGTTCTCTAATCAAATATATTGTATATGAATAAATTATTATTTTAGCTAGTAAGTATAAGATTATTTCAGATTGGATATCTAAAACTTCTCTAATCAAATATACTGTATATGAATAAATTATTATTTTAGCTAGTAAGTATAAAATTGTTTCAGAATAGAATATTTATAAGTGAATAAAATTTCTCTAATCAAATATACTGTATATAAATTAAATTATTGATTTTAGATTGTAAGTATAAATTATTTTGGATTAGAATATCTATAAGTGAATAAAATTTCTCTAATCAAATATACTGTATATAAATTAAATTATTGTTTTAGTTGGTAAGTATAAATTATCTTCAAGGTTTAATAAAAGAAAAACCTAACTAGTACTTGCATGAATCACAATCCAAGATGGAACTTTGGTTGGGATGTAACATTAGTCTTACAACTTGGATATATGCACAAAAAGGTAATATTTTATATATTTATATATATTTTTATTTTATAAACTTTTAACAATTTTAATTTTATAAATTTCAAAACTCGCAAAAGAAAGAAATAAAGTTAATAGAAACAATTTCTTTTATGAATGTCTCAGTATACACCAAGTCAATTAGTTTTTCAGACGAAACTGCTTATGACAAAAAATATTATCTCAATGCTATATTCAAGAAGGTTCCATGAATTCTATTGAATAAATAAATTTTTAATATTTCTTTGTCGATTTGCAGCAAAACATTTTAAATAAAGTTAAGCATCTTATTTATTGGTTGCAATCTTGTTCTAATTGTTCTAATTGTTCTGATCATTCTTAGCATGCCCCAAATCTTTTTTATCACATTCAGGTTGTATTTATAAGATTCAATAAGTTAAATTGACTTTTGATTCTATAATTCGATGTTTGCATCGGATAACTCAAAAGTATTTGTCATGGACAATAAAGATTCTAGAGAATCTTTAATTGTTATATCTACTGTGAGCTTTGATTGTGTTGATTATAATTTTTAACGCATTTTTGATACATATTAATTAAGTCTTGATTTTTTGGAATTTCGACTTTAGTTGAATTTTTAGTTGAATTTTTCATCCAATTGACGGATTCTTGATCATATCTAACTTTTTTAATATTAGCACCTATTCATGTAATATATTTACAGTCACACAATTTGTCACATCAAAATTTTTATCATATGATTTTTATAAATTACACAAATCGATAAAATTACATTTTTAAAATTTCTAAAAAATCTTATTCAAAGTATGCTATACACTTTAGCACAAATTTATTCCCGAGGTTTCAACGAATCAAACGACATAAAAAATATAAAAAATAAACTTCTTGTTGTAAAATACTATGTCTTCGAATATAGACAATTATTTTGTATATTGTTGCAAGATTCTTTTCAAGCTTACAAGTTTTTCATATAAAAAGTGATTCATTAGGTGCATTAGAGCGAGAGCTTTCGACAAAATGCATCTTCAAAATATGGGTACATTATAAGCATAGTGGTGAAAATTAGAAAAAACTATTTTACAATAAGTAGATCGCTTATTAATTCAGGTATAGTTCGTTTCTGTACTTAGTTCGGTCTTTTTAGTCTTTATTTTTACTTGCAAAAAGTTTTTTAAAACATTCATCTTATTTATTATGTTATAACACCAATCTCAAATTCGTTTTGAAGTCCAATAATCTTAATCATTAATAACCTTCGTGAGTAACATGGTAGAACTTTTATATTCTTCAAAATGTTTTAGAATCTTTTTTTCAACAACTGCTAATTTGCACATTGAATATTTTCTTAGACATGATATGTACTCTAAAGATAGATCGATGATATTACAGTTAGACCTCTCTAAGTGCACACTCTTGGGACCACATTTTAACGATGTGCATTTAGAGAATAATAAGAAAAAATGCATTTATAGAGGTCAAGTATATATTTGGGCCAGAATCTAAACGTGCATTTAGAGAGTGTGTGCACTTATAGAGGGTGCACTTAGAGAGGGCTAACTGTAGTTGAATAATCCATAGTATAAAAATGAATTGCGTAACTACAAAATTTCTATTATGCTATATAGTTAGAAACGAAAGACATCTTTTTCAAACTATCAAATATTTCTATTTCAAAGATTTAACTTCTAAATTAATATCGAATTCATTCTAAATAGGGGTCTGCAACCTGGGCTTATATCCATACTTAACAAAAAGTATAAGAATTTGTATAAGTTGGCACAAGCATGGGCACAAATACAAAAATTTGCTATGAATTTTGTAAGTATGAAGGCACGACTAACACTTTAATGCCAGTACTCTGTGCTCATGTGAATAAAAGTGTCTAGTGCTTTTGTAATTATAGCATAGATATAGCACAAGACACTAGTGCCTGGTATGGATATTTGCCGATCTCTAATTTTGAATCCCAAGATTAAACGAAGCTAGTAAGTATACTTTATTGTTCAATATTTTTTATAAATAATGTTTATTAAAATTTAATATAAAATTCTTTTATTACAAAAAGATGGGATAAAAATATATAAAGCCAAAAATTTTTATATATAAGTTAAACAATTATTCACTTGTAAATTCATCATTTTTGGATTGATCATTACTTTCTTGTTTTCTCTTTTGAATTTTTTGTCGTTGTTTAAAATTTGCTACAGTATCTTTAACTAAATTTTTACTTGCTCTTCCTTTTGTATTTTTCTTTTTAGTTAAATAGACTTCTTGTGCAAGTAGATCTTGCATACGTTTTATTCTGTGTTGATAACAAGTTTCCATATTGGAGTATCCTTTTAAAGTATTTTGCGTTGTATATTCAAAAAGCGAATTACTATTGGGGTCTGGATTTTGAAATGCAGCATATATTTGATTACTTAAAGTCCACAATCGCTCACATCGATCTGGTGCAGGACAGTCATCAATATTTATTACAGTATCAATAAATTCGTCAAGGACTGATAATCGTTCGATTTCATCTTGACTTCCTTTTATTTGTCAATGTAAGTTTTTATCATCTCCAGACTTTCTTGTCATTACTTGTTTAACAAACTTGACACCATATGTTTCTAACGCTTCATCATATGCTAGATAATGTCCTTCACGTGTAATATTAATAGATGGTACTTGATTTAATCTTTTTTGAAGTTGAGGATTTTTATGCAATTTTCCTAAAAAAATAGCAACTGATTCTGCGTATCTATACTTGCCAGTAACTGGAAAAAGAGGTGCAAATGTGGCAAGACTTGCGATTTGCAAATCAAAATCTCCTCTTCGAATGCCAATTTTATGTGCTTTCCAATAACCAGCCCACCGGTAATAATTAAACCAAACTTTTAAAATATTGTTAGAACTATTTTTAATATCATTAATAGTCATTTTGGTATCTTTTAGATAACGATGAATCGCAATTTCAACTGCTGCCCAGATTAATTCAAGAACTGTACAAGTTGCACGATAATCTGAACCTTTTTCTAGATTTTCCAAATATCGAATGCCGAGTAGTACTGCCATGTTAAAAATCCCATATCCAGAAAAAGCAGTAATTAAAACCTGGCACATGTCTTTTGAAGTATGCCATTGTCCAAGAATAATATTAGCGATAAGGTTTTCATTTTCATAATTTTTAAGTCTTCGAAAAATGGCTTCATCGCATGCAATATTGATCATGGTAGCTTCTGCGTTTGCTACATCATTTAAAAACATGTCACATGTTTTATATACATTTTTATTAGAATTTGGTGCTGGTCCAGGATCTAGAATTATTATTTTTGGCTTATCAAATTTGCATCTGATTTGAATATTTTTAATAACTTTTAGGTGAATATCATTAATGTCGAAATTATTTATTTTTTCTAAAAGTAATTCTTCAAAAATTCTATCATAATTTCTGTTTAGATTTTCTGTAACTGTTGATAATCCAATCGTAACCTGATCCAATTGTTCAGAAAAGAAGATTGAAGCTGGTTGCAAGTCTGAAAGAAGCTTAAACTGAAATACAATTCGAAGAGTAGCATGTGCAGTTTTTCGTGCAACATTATAAATATTCCCATACATAAATGTCTTTTCTTTTATGTCAATATTATCAATAACTAACAGATTGTAAATATTATTTCCAACTTCAAGTCTGTTAGCAGGATTAGAAGATTCCATACGCCGTCTTTCTGTACGAACTTCATGAACCCAAATGTAAGAAATAATATATGCGGAATGAAGAATTTTATAAAGTTTTGAAATCATATATAAACGTCTACAAAGTGAACCCAAAACATGAGGTAACCAAATTTTCCACCTACGAAAAGCAATTCCTATTATAATTGATACTAAGAAAATTGTAATTTTGTTAACTATTGTTAAATCTAGTAGAATTGATAGTAATCCACGAGATTTTCTTTGTCGTTCTGCGATCTCATATTTTTTTTAAAAAAAACCGTAATAAGGCTGCTTAAAAAAGACCACAAATTTCGGGGCAATGCTGCAGCATATTGTTCAAGAGATTGTGGATTTTCTAAGGTCGGTAAATTGTTTTTAAGCACTATACGAGATTGCCACAAGGATTCTCCAAGAAGATTTCCGAATTGTGCGCATTCCTTTTCTTCTAAAAATTCTGCTTTTGCTTTATCACTTAAATCTATTTTTGCTAATTTAAATGCTATTTGAGTCATTAATAAAGTTGGTAGAACTTGGTTATCAAAAGGACTATAAATTAAATCTTTTGGCAAACCCGATTTTAATGTCTTAATTGCTGGCAATAATGACCAGATAAGTTGCTGTTTTTGTAATTTATTATCCGATTTTGCTATTAATTTAATCCAATTTCCAAATTTTTCTAGAATTGTAGATAAATCATCATGCTTACTATTGCAACCAAAATTTGAAACTCCAGGACCTAATCTTTGATGTAAATGGCCACCATTAGCTTCAAAACATTCTGAGCAGATATATAAGGGTCGTGTGTTATTTGTTGATTGAATGGAAATTAAAAGGCAAGGTTGTAATGCATCACATGATCGTAATCCTAAGCACGGAACTCTAATATTGCGTCTACATACTGTCCACGAATGATTAGAACATCCCTGACCACGCATAAAAAAAGTTTTATATTTATTACAGAATATGCATCGTGCATGATAGAGAATACTTTGGTTTGTTCCAATGTTTGAATATTTTTATAATGTAGTTGATTTTGATCAAAAAGAAAATGTCGATAACAGATACCAAGTTCATCTAGCTTTTCATTCCATTGCATAATAGTATTACGATCAACTTCCCAAGTGCCTTTGAGTTGGGCAAGAGGCCGATTAGAACCTCCTTCATTAATTCTGTTACATCGTCATATTTTTTTTCATTATTGTCATTATCTATAATGACGCAAGATGTGTATTTATTGTTTTTTACCGATTGATCTAATAAAATTTCTTCAATATCTTCATCAAATTCAGATGATATATTTTCTTCTGTCGCATTATTAAGATCGTAATCCTCATTTTCGTTATCACTATTCTGCTGCAAAATTTTATTCCTAACATCTTGATATGCGTCAATGTCGAAATTAAGAATAGGAAAGTTTTCTATTTCGGTTGCAGATTCACTGTCAGAATCAGAATAGTTCTCATCATAATAAGTGTCTTCCATCTGATTATTATTATGGATTGTAATACTGGGTTAAGATTTTTTAATAGTTTTTGCAAGCAAATATAACAATAAAATTATTTGATTATATAATTGTCTCAATTTTAATTATTTAAATAAATTAATTTACAAAAATTTTGGATCAAAGAAGTTCTATTTATACATTTTTTAATTATTACAATTACGAATGTTTATTACTAGTAAAAATTATATTACATGCAGTTTTCAATTGCTTAATCACCCAATTACTCGATTACTAAATTGCTCAGTTACCTCATCGTTCAATCACTCAATAACCAAATCGCTCAATCACTCAATAACCAAATCGCTCAATCACTTAATTACCAAATCGCTAAATCACTCAATTACCCAATCGCTCAATTACCTAATAACCCAAACGTTCAATTACCCAATTACCCAAACGCTCAATTAGTAAATTACCCAAACGCTCAATTATAGATGCTGGTGAAACTAAATAACGCTGGTGAAACTGGTGGCTATCTAAAATCTGATTGGCTGTTATATTAAATTTCACCAGTTTCACCACCATTCACCAAGAGTTTCACCAGTTTCACCAGCATCTATACGCTCAATCACTCAATCGTTCAATCACTTAATCGTATATAGGGTTGTATTACAAAAATTTCAATTTTATATTTTATGTAATTTTGCGTAAATTTCAGTAACTCGGCTAGCATTATTGAGCTACAGTAGATTCTGCATAAAGTTCACTGGCCAAATCGATGTACGTATGATCCAACCAATCATATGAGCATATGATTATGTTTTTTACAAATTACATGAAAACCATGTTACTGAAAACTTACGCAAAATTTCACAAAATTACGTAAATTACGGTAATTTGACAACCCTAATCGTATATCACCCAATTGTTCAATCACTTAATCGTATTTCTCATATCGCTTAATCATTCAATGGGTCTGGTCCGATTATTGTCATATAAGCCTAAAAAAAAATAGTCTGTAGCGTCAAAATAAATTTATGTAATGCAATTAACAAAATAATAAAATAACAAAAGAAACAAAGTTGATACTAGTATACGGATAAACTTGAATTGTAACATTCGGCTATGCCACAAGTAAGTGTCAAGATTCGGGGATAGAAAGTGTTGATTGTAGCTTCACCTATTCAATTACCCAAACGTTCAATCGCTCAATCACTCAATTATCCAATCGTTCAATCACTTAATCGTTATTTCTCATATCGCTTAATCATTCAATGGTCTGGTCTGATTATTGTCAAATAAGCCTAATAAAAAAAATAAATAAATAGTCTGTAGCGTCAAAATAAATTTATGTAACGTAATTAACAAAATAACAAAAGATAAGAGCAAAGTTGATACTAGTATACGGATAAACTTGAATTGTATCATTCGGCTATGCCACAAGTAAGTGTCACGATTCGGGGATAGAAAGTGTTGATTGTAACTTCATCTATTCATTTTTAAATTATTAATTGATCCAGGGTTAACAATTTTCGGCCGAATGTAAAACTTTGACGTGTTAAATTATTACACGATCCCGAAATCGTTTATCAAATTGCTTTTTGGTTATGACTCTGACCTTGATTCACCTGTATTTATGGGTTTCAAAAGTTCTGTTTAGTAATATGTCTGTTTTGGTAAATTAAATTAGTTTTAATTGGCGACATTAGTGCCTATTTCGCAAATCAAAGTTTAAATTATACTGGATTACAAAAGCCAATTTATACCCAACTTCGCAAGTGAGATTCTTTATTTTTGGTGTTACAAACGGTACTCAAAAACGTTTAGTAGGTAGTTGTTATATGTCTTTGCGAGATTCTAACTTGATCTTTGCATAAAAGTATATTCGTTCTTGTAAAAGACAAACGTAAAGTAAATGATTTCGTCAATTTTATATGAAAAAAAAATTTTATCATATGATGTAGATCATTCTAAATTCTATATTAAAATCACTTCCCGTGATAATCCCGTGACAAATCGTGTGACTGTTTACTATAAAAGCTAATTTGATATCCGGAGCCTTTTTTATATTTCTTGTCAAGTTTTATTGGTTGACAAGAACAATCTTTTTCATAAACTTTCGCACAAATTAAACATACTAAACATATTGGGAAAGCATTCAAACGAAATTTTAATAATGTTGACATTTAATAATAAATTTATTTGTAGAACAGGTATTATATTTATTTATTATAGTAATTTTTGAAATTGGAACAACAATGTAATTTATATCAATATTACAGTAAATAAAAATTCAAAAATATATTTTTTATGCCGCCGACCGAAAAATTCTCGGCTAATTTTTTTATTATTATGTAATCTACCCGCTTTAAGGGACCCCTTTTCTGGGATCAAAACAAAACATAAATCGACCAATAAGATCTATGATAGACAAAATACTATATATACCTCAAAATTTTCACATCTTTTACTCATAACAATACTTTCTTTTTCCGCCCCATTATTTTGTTCGTTGTGCCATCCACTTTCACATAGGTTTGGAGAAGTTAGATCATTTCGATAGTTCCGGTCTAACCGGGTGAATTATTGATTGGTTGTCCTATGTGACTGCATCTACAACTTCTCGTTTGTTTAGTGTCCTCTTTCGCTTTACAAACTATCCTTAAAGACCGTTTTCTCTATACTCGTTTTGAAGTTTTTTAAACTTTGCGCTTAAATTAGGTTCGTCAAATAAGTGATGTACACCTTCTAACACAGATAGGGCCACTGACAGTAGTTTAAACTAAGCTTAAAGCTTCCCTATTGTTACGCACAAATTGTCTTGAGGAAGTTCTTGTGAAGCGAAAGCTGACGAATCTCGCAAAGTTTTCCTTTTTGTTATTTGATTTTTTTTTCTTTTTATTTAGTAATTTAGGCAAGTTGTTTTTTTATTATTTATATATTTTTCGTGTCTATTTTTATTTTTTGTTATCTAATTTTATTTTTATTTGCTTTAAAGTTCGTCGCCGCTAGTGTATTTCGTTCGTCGTTTTCGCGTCGCCGTCGGTGTATTTTTGTTCGTCGTTTCTCGTGGTAGAAAAACGATTTGAAAATTGTGATTTAGTCTGAATCGATTTTAAGAGATAATAATGGCGCATTTCACACTGGCACACTCAGTAGCAGTGAAAAGTTTGTGATATAGTCTGAATCGTCTCAAGAGATAATGATAAATAACATTGATATAGTCTGAATCGTTTTAAGAGATAATGATGACTTTATGTTAGATTTGAATCATTTTAAGAGATAATTATGGCATATTTCAAACTTAGTAACAGCGAAAAGTTTGTGGATTTAGTCTGAATCGATTTTAAGAGATAATGATGGGCACATTTCACATTTAGTAGAGTCGGTGTTCTTTTCACGAGAGACGTACGTACCTGTTTACCATTGGTTCGCTATCAGTAAAATGCGAATCACTTTACCGATGACTTGGTACACCATCGGTATCGTATTTTATCATTTCGAGATTTTTTTTTTAAAAAAAAGATTGGGAAATAAATGAATTGAAAACTAACCGAATATACATGTTTTTAGATCGTTTGTTTTCTTTAGCACTTTCTCTGTAGATTTAGAATTTTTTTTTTTGAATTCATAATTTTAAACTCCTTTGGGTCACATGATGCAAACCTCCTCGTGGTGTGACCTGGACATCGAGCGATTTGTTCGATGACTAATGTGCATCACATTCACTTACAGATTTGCATGTAATTTTTTTATTTTATTGTATAAACTTATAAAACTCTTTTAATGTAATAATAAATCTGTTTTCGATTTTTTTAATCAAATGTTTTATCGAACTGATCGACAAAGACCAAAATCAAAGATCGTAACGAAAGTATTTGATTATGTTTGTTATCTTTAATGGACTTATAACGTTAATTTGCACATAATAAAAAAATATTCTGAGTCATTGCTAAAAAATCATGCGATATTAAAATTTATTTCTTCTGTAAGCTTTATTGTGCTTTGCAAAAAGATGTGCCTCTGCAATGTCGTATGGATTCTGTAGATTTTAAGAATATTACCGATTTCAAATAAATATAGATATAACTGATCGAAAATAATAAATACGTATACAAACAAGATTATTATCATCGAAGCTAAACATATCGGTGCTTATAATCTATTTTTATATTAGATATGCTTATAAATTTTATAAGTTGTCTCTCTACTTAAAGTAATGTTCTGGCCTATGATGAAAAAATCGGCTATGTGCAAATTATCAACTTACGGTTAAAATCGGGTTTTATTAAAACAATTATTCCATTTCTAAAATTTCCAATATAGAAAAAATGAAAAAATGATTAAAATTTTTTTGGCGAACTTTGAAAGTTCTGAAATAAAATCGACCAATTGACTAAGTCATTAAATTCTTCGGATGATATCGAAACTTACATCTTACCTATCTTATCTGTTATATTAAAATTACGTCTATTAGTGACGTGACAAGTCTGTACCTAATAATTGACTCTCAGCAGCTGCATCCTGTGCGATGCGACCCTTGTTGGAATATCCAAATTGTTTATCAGAAAGCATTAATGACCGTGTTGCCAAAAAAAAAAATATTATTTGGTAAACTTGTTTATACAATTTCCGAGTTACAAGATTAATTTCAATGTATGCTCAAATTTTTTTGACAAGTAAACTAAACCTGAAAATCTGATAAAGTTAGACCAAATTCAACTTTCATCAGTACCAATCTTTACCATATCCATCTTTTAAAATCATTGACTTAGAAATCAAAATGAGCTGTTCAGAAGTAATTTTTGATTTGGTAGTAAAGTATCCTTTAAAAATTGCAAATTTGGTTGTAATTGATGAGGTAACATTAAATGAATTAATAAAATAATAATAATTTCCAAACAAACTTATATCGATACTCTTCGACAACAACAAAGACGTGAGAGAGTTGTACATTTTGATCAGAGCTTTTTAGCCTTGTCCCTCTCGTTTCAGGACGTTCCGACTTGTTCCATCATGATCCTGAACAATATTAAAAAAAGATTATATGTGAAAAGTAGATAATGCAGTATTATTATCCCTTTTAGTATTATTCAGGGTCTTAACCAAATTAACATTTATTATAAAAAGCACTTATGTTGGTTTTTATTATGCATTTTAGATTTTCTAAGTTTTATACAGCATATAAAATTTTAAATTTTTTTTCGCTTTAGAATTAAATTTGAAGTTTGGGAAAGGTTTTTTGGAGGTGTAGAATACCAATAAATTGGCCAGTTTGTTGAGATAATATATGTAAATGTGAAACATCATAAGCGCGTTTATAAAAGTGATAAAATTATATACAACAATATTAAATAGTTTTATTTAAAAAACTAAATGCAATTGAGCTTTACACGGGTACAACTTTTAATTTGATGCTTTCTTGTTGTTTGAAAATATAATCGATCATATGATGAATCTCTAATAAATATCTGATTAAGAGTGTTCTCAAGCACCTACTTCAATGGACTCAATAACGAATCTGATTTGTCAGTTTAATCAAACTAGTCAATCAGATTTTTTATTGAATTCATTGAGGTGGGTGCTTGAGAACGCCCTAGGTGCGATTTGTAATACAGTATATATATAAAACCAAACTTTGTAATGATTAAAAGCTTAATAAACTGATCGGCGGATTTTTTTTTTTTTAAAAAAATTGACCGGCTAAGTTGAAATGTCCTACATCTTATCATCAAAATGTGTAACTTCAAAGACGTCTTTTCCTAATTCATTATTGGAACCTGTCCAATAATCTTATCGTAAAAAACAAATAATATCGGCACCAACTTGCTGTTTTTTAACGGGTGGTACGTCAATGAGACAGAAGATTGAATCCGAAGGAGGACTAGTGGCGACGACTCCAACGTTTGCATTACACCAATGATACTCTAATTTTTAATCAAAAAAATAACAACATAATAACATTAATTTTTTTTTTTTAACACACGATTTGTCACGGTAGTCTTTGAATTCCACGTCGTTGCAGGTTTCCTTCGTTCCATTCGTCGTATGAATTCTGTGCCGGATTTTGTTGATCATTGTGACGCAGATTTCGATTAAAAAAAATTTTAAAGTTCATTGTAGTTAAGGTTAGTGTTAAATTAATGTTAGAAGTTAGGTAGTTATATAAAAAATCGCTCAAGGAAATTCTGTTTCTTGCAAAACGAACGTTTGATTTGCAGATTATGAATCTGCGGCACAGAATTGATGTGCAAGTCTAGCATATCAAATTTTGAAATTTGATTCTAGTAATATACCGGTATTTGTAACCATCTACAATAGATGGAAAATGGCTATAAAAGCGTTAAAGGTCTGAATGCAATTATGGCATTGAATACGGTATAGTACCTAATTACCAATCTGGATTGAGACATACTTATACGTATGATACGGGCTAACAAGTCATTCAGGAAAAGGAACCGGTCCAAGATCATGCGAAAGAGGAGATTGAACGGAACCTTAATTTTTTGAAGGAAAATTTAATGTAAGTGTTAGACCACCTTTATTGATATTACCTTGAGAGTTTGAGATTTATTAATATTATTTGTGTTTTAGCATCCCTCAACTGATGCCGATGGACCTCTATACGATTCTCTTAAAAAATAAGATTAATAACTCTAAATCCCATAGAAAGATCCGGAGGCAAATATGATCTTTAGTGATAAATCAAAGCTAGTGGACAAACGGCAGAAAAAAACATTTACAGTATGAGCAACTTTTATTTTATATGAAATCCTGATCATTGGGACATGTTGAAGATTTTCCCTCAAATTATATTCGTAATTTCTATTTACATATCAATTTATAGAGAATATGATGTGTGATCTTCCCGAATCAATTCTATCTAATTGTGATGAATTTATAGAGAACTTCGATAGAAGAATTGTTTCGGGAATTCTAATATTTTCCATAATAAAACATGGAAAGAAAATGAAAGAGACCTTGTAAAAGGAACAGGTCGAATTCTGGATGTACTGTATGTAATTTTACCGAAAATTTCTTTCTTTTAATATTTTGTACATTCCAATTTTATAATTGTATATTTTTAAACAAGTTCCAAGATATGGTGACTTGTATATGTCGAATGCTCCTGCGTTGTCTGCACTAAAACAAAAAGGGATGATGATGCGGTGAAGCTATGGAGGGAAACATTGATTACGTTGGGACATCATGCAGACCGGCTAGCAACCAATTTGGAATTCAAGTTGCTGGGGAGGCTGTGTATTTAAATGTCCTTATGTTGGATGGTGCTGGAATACCTCGGTATTTCCACCTTGATCAAGCAGAAATACCACTGATAATAGATACACCATGGTACGTGAAACTCTTATACGCTTATTATTAACTTTGAGGGTATGGATATATATTAAATTTTTATATACAGTAATTCTGCTTTCATAATTATGTTTAACTGATAAACTATCTTTATTTTATGTATGGATACAGAATATTCTGATCATGAATAAAAGCTTACTAAAGCGAGCACTTGAGCATGCAGATACCAATTCACCTCAAAATATTCGACCAAGCCTTACAGACCAAAATCAAAGAAATTTCCGTATAACTTATTAATTTAACAAACAAATAGACATATGGTATAATACACTTATTTATTACATTGCTGCAAATTTATGAAACTAGAGCATTTTGACTTACTATGAAATGCGTTATTTACTATTTGTTTTTTGATATTTCTTATTGTAAAATTATATAGATTATGTCTAATCATCTTCCCATGAAAAGATGAGTTAAACGTTATCTACATGATTTTACAATAAGAAATGCCAAAAAACAAATAATAAATGACGCATTTCATAGTAAGTTAAAATGCTCTTATTTCATAAATTCGCCGTGGTGATTTTGTTATTTATTATTTTGTTAATAATAATAATAAACATATTGATATATTGTATTTTTGAATAATAATGCTCATAATCATTATTTCAAATAATACACGAAAATATGATACATTTCATGTATGTTTTTTTGATTTTTTGATCCTATTCTTATTTAAAAATATAGTACAATTGGAAGGCATTTATATTCAAGATCCAGAAAACAATTCGGAAACAAATAATACAACAAAATGAGTGCTGTTACTTCTGATTGTGTTGTTTTGTATACCAAAAAACAAAGTAATGTGAAAACCGGCAGAAAAAGAAGCCATAGCTCTTCATCTTCATCTGGATCCGAGTCCTAGTCAAGAGGTATATTAGATATATCACACATTATTAAGTTAAACTATACCAGAAATAAAACAAACAATAATGAAAATAGTAATTCAATGATGATCGTCATAGAATTAATTTTTATTACGGTCTGTTTGAAATTCTTTACTTAGTTTTAATTGTTGGTTTAAAACAAGCTAATATTTGTTTATTTTTTTTTTTTTAGAGTTTGGCCATAGGTATTTCGATGGGGTCTAAAATCCTTTGCTCTTATACGATTGCCAAATGCATACTTTATTGTTTGTGCTAGAGGTTCGAAAATCAAATGGTAAGTAAATTTTTATATATCTATTTTATAAATTTTTTTTTTAATTCTATTTAATTTATATAGATATTACTAATGAAGGTAGTACTAATAAATAGATCTTTGTACATTTTGATATATGATTTTTTATTTTATATTTGATATATATATAATTATGACAATTATTGCTATAGAAACTTCCAAGCCCGCAAATAATACAAATGAAAACAATCAAGAGATACAAGTTTTGACCATATAGAAAGTATAATTCTACTTGTACCAATAGAATATAAAATTTTACAATAATGTAAGTCAAGAAAATGGATATGACTTTTAGCATAATTAATAGCATTTTTCCTCATGCTTTAACAAATATCTTTGCCAAGAAGATCACTGAGGATTATTTTAAAGAGTGTTACTCTGAATGTTTCAACTGCCACATATAAAAAAAAATGTAGAGTTTATTGCCTATTTTAAATTTTTTCTTCACCAATTATTGAGAAATATGATGTCTGTTTTTGCAAAATAATTATAAAATAATGCATTAAATAAAATTTTAATTTTTAAAAATAATATAATGACTAGTTCTTCTGCCTAATATGATATTATTTGTCTAATACCCAGTTCTTTAAAAAAAAAAATCTATCCTCAAAAAACTGACCTATATATGAGACCTCCCACAGCAAAAGAGGGCAGTAGGCCAAAAAATTTTTATTTTATTCTTGAAGAATTAGATTAATAGGGATATAATTTTTATAAAAGAGAGTTATCATTCATTGCCATGGCGATGCATCGCCACCCCTGATCGACCAATCAGGATACAAGATCAGGTGTAACGTGAAAACGAAGCAAAACAAAGTTTTTTTTAAAAAATCGCTTCTAACATAAAATTTTGACTATGGAACTGCTTTTTTTTCTTGAAAAAAAAAATTCCTTG